ATGATTTGGGGGTCTTTGTAGCTGGCCATTTGCCTTTTTCGCAGATTGTCCCTAGACAAACTTTCTTTTTTTATAGTCTGTAAACAGATAGTAAATGCTTTAGGCTTGGAACCATAATGACTGGGCTCTGAAGTTGTAAACTCACAAAAGTTTTCTATAGAAAGTTCCCTTGTGACAAGAATTCAGTAGCGGAGTCTGACAAAGCAGCAGAATAGGTAGGTATGGAAATGGGCCCCAGGCAGGGACTAGCCTGCAGGCTGTAGTTGGTGACCTGCCTTCTCCCCCTACCCCCCACATCCCCTGCTCCCATCCCCCTGCCCACTGCTTTTGTTAAATAGATAGATGTCCCGCCCCATGCAGTGTGCCAGTCACTGAAGAAAAAACTTTATTCACCTGCATCTGAATTGAGGAAGGAGCCCCAAACCCCCTAAGGGTACAAGGTAGGACATACTTGTAAGCCTGGTACTTGGCAGGTAAGAGACAGGAGAGTCAGGAGTTCAGGGTCATCCTTTGCTACAAAATGAACTCAGGGTCAGCCTGGGTTACACAAGACCCTGACTCAAGAAAGAAAAAAAAGTAAATCTGTCTTTATTTTTTTAAAGATTTTTATCTATATGTTTGTATGTATATGACTGTTCTGACTGCATGTACACCTACATGCCAGAAGAGGGCATCAGACCCCAGTATAGATGGTTGTGAGTCACCATGTGGTTGTGGGGGAACTGAACTCAGGACCTCTAACCACTGAACCATCTCTCCAGCTCAGATCTATCAGTCTAAAGGACAGAGCTTGGGGATATTAATGGGATAAAGCTGCAGGCAGGGGAAAGATGGCTGAAGGCAGAGGGAGGTGACGGTGTGATGGTCTGCACGTGCACAGTCAATGTAGGATTCATATTCAGAAAAATGGCTGCACTGGGGAGCTCAGAGGCAAAGCTCTCCGTCTTCTAGTGTCAAAAGGTCATCCATGCCTGGTGGTGGCAGCGGCCCACACCTTTAATCCCAGCACTCCAGAGGCAGAGGCAGGCAGATCTCTGTGAGTTTGAGGCCAGCCTGGTCTACAAAGTGAGTCCAGGACAGCCAAGGCTACAGAGAGAAACACTTTCTCAAAAAAAGAAAGGAAGGAAGCAAAGAAAAGGAAAGGAAAAGAAGGTCCTCCATTGGACATGTATGCAGTTGTGAGTGGACAAGTGGTGATTCCAGCTAGTCTGAGGTGGACTTAATCGTTCCAAGGTCCTAAAGCAACCCAAAGAACCATTGTGTCTGACTGTAGCTGCTGTCCTGGAGAATGGAGCAGCATCGGGACCAAAAGCAAGTGAAGCTGGATGTTTGTTCGGGTCGTCCCTGTTTCTCTTCACTGCACAAGTCTGGGAACCTCTTGTGACTGGGATAGCCACCCCATGGACATAGCAAGCCCCTTTTGCATGCTGCCTGAGGACCCAGAGTTGCTAAGCTGTCAGGCTTCAGTCAGATCCCTGCAGGGCAGGTGCTGGGTCCTGCTGCTGCCCTAGGATCCTTTGTGGAAGTGGGTAGCAGGAGGTTGAGCAGAATCAGTGTGTTGGGAATGCTGTGGAGGTCTCGCTGGGAACAGTCACACGCTGTGCATTTGGCTTCAGGGACCTAAACTCCCTGGACACACAGCCTTGGAACGAACCTTTGCAAACTCTCTGTAGTGAACTAAAATAATAGCTCTGTGACTTAGCATGAGGACCTGAGTTTATGCTCCCAGAAGCCATGGAAAGCTGGGCATAGCACTGCTTCTGTGATTCTAGGAATCTTGAAGCAAGATGGAAGGCAGCGTCAGGAGTGCCCCTGGAAACTGGCCAGCCATCTGTCCTAGAATGCATAGTGCCAAGGACACAAAAAGTAAGGAAAAGGAAAAAAAAAATAGGTGTGGTTGTGCATAGCTTGTATTCTAGCACTGGGGAGGCAGAGGGAAGCAGATCTTTGTGAATTCCAGGCCAGCCTCGTCTATATAGTGAGTTCCAGTCCAGCCTGGGCTATGTAGCAAGTTCTAGGCCAGCCAACCTACATAGTGAGACTCTGTCTCAAAATAAAAAACAAAACTAAACAAACAAAACAAAACAAAAAACCCGACAAAAAAAAAAAAAAAAAAAAAAAAGAGGCTAAACCAGGTAGCCAGTAAAAACCAATACCCAAAGTTGTCCTCTGACCTCCAGATGAGCACATGGGGGCACAAACACACGTGTCATACACATATGCACACAAAGACTTTGACATTTTAAAGTTGTATTACATTTATTTATTTGGAGTGGCGTGTGCATGTGCCGCAGCTCATGTGTAGAGGTCAGAGGACATATGTAGGAGTTGGTTCTCGCCTTCCACCCTGTGGATCTCAGGTTGTCAGGTCTGTTGACAAGGGCCTTTAACCACTGAGGCTGGCCCACAACTTAAAAAGTAAATGGTTTTTTAAATCTTGGTAGTAAGAAGAATTGTGTTGCTTGTGACCTTTCTACTGGGTGCATACAGGATTATGAAAGTCATGGCTTAACAGTCAGAAAAATCCACACAGAAAGGGATCTGTGTGTAGCTGCTCACAGCAGAATGTGTTCGTGGCCTTAAATCATGGCTCATTTTCTGGGCACATGACATTCTCTGGTGGTGCTTTGAGAAAGCCTCTTTGACAACAGCCACTTTGAGGTGGTGCTTTTGATGTAGGATCATTGTGGTAGGGTGGTTCAACCTTATGCATAAAATTTAAAAAAATGACTCATGGTGTAGAAAACTGCCAACCTGTTCCATCTCTGAATGGGGCCAGAGGAAGTGGGGAGGGCCAGCAGGGCAATATGGGTGGGGAGGGGTAAAGCCAAGGGTGGGGGCCAGGCACCATCTGCCAGACAAGACATCATGTGATCGCCACAACTGTCTGTGGTAGAAAGGATCATCCCAAGCAGAATGTATACTCATACACTAAGAATTGGCTCAAATCTTGGCAGGATGACATCCTAAATTATCTCTTTCTTAAAGTTAAAAGACCTTATGTGTGTGCTAAGACAGGAAAGGCAGGGGAAGGGAGAAGCAGATATTTAAACCACAACGTGGCCCTTTATTCTCAGCTCCAGGCTACACAGGAAATCCCTAATTAGACGGGTGACAGCGTCTCAGAATCTCCAGTGATACACATGCGTTAGAGTTAACCTCACAAAAGTCCCTTTGAGTGATGGCTTGGGGGAAAGGCCTAGACCCCTACTTATTATTGATTTCTTAATAATTTGCACATTTTTCCTTACTACAGAAGTAGTGAAAGAAGCTATGATAGAATATTGTGATAGCAAAGACATGACCAAACAGTTATTTTACCATTTGTATGGTAGTTACCAGACTCTTTATGGAAACCCACAGAAACTGAATCTTCAGGGTTTCCACCATCATTCCCATTTCTTGTGCCATTTTCTCCTCAGTACAGACTTGAGTCTTGCCTTAGGTCACTTGACCGGAAAGTGAGTCAGGTTCACAAGGCTGGCAGTGAAGTATCAGGGTATGTGACCCCATCACTGGAGCCAGCCATTCATGTCCCAGATCCTGATAAGCCCCTAACTTCCTCTTCCCCTGGGTTTGGATGCCTCAGACAGCACATCCAATTGGGAACCCATGAGCTTCCTTCCAGCTAGAGAAGGGAACATGGTATCTGTAGCTTGCTTTTCTTGTTGCTGTTGAGCATATGCTCCATTGCTAAAAGCACATGTCTTTATAAAGCAAACAGGGAACGCTCTTCTTCTCTCCTCCCCACCTAAGTCTATCTAGAAGGTCGTAGCTGGGAATGTCAGTGGTGTGGGGAGGCTCCTGTGTGTAAGTGCATCATGTACGGCATGTGTGTGGAGAAGTCACCCCTTGTCTGGTTTCATTTGTCATTCCTTTGGCAACCATAGTCAGCTGCTGTCTGAAAATATTAGGTGGAAATTTTCAAAAACAAACAGTGCATAAGCTTTAAACTGCACACCATTCCGAGTAGTGTGATTAAATCTGTGGCATTGCTCCATCTTGCCCGGGACACTAATTACCCCTTTGCCCTTTGGGTCCACACTGACTCACCTGGATTAGCAGATTAGCAGCCATGGGGTCAGCGCTGGTGTTCAGGTAACCCTTGCTATACTTAATAGCAGTCCCAGAGCACAGAATAGTGATACAGAAAATTCGGACTCTCGGCAAAAGGCTCTTAAGCACTTCACTTAAGAAAAAAGGTGAACATTCTCAATATAAGGGAGGGGAAAATTGTCTGCTGTAGTTTGCCAAAATCTAGAGAAGAACAGATCTTCCATCTGCAAAGCTGTGGAAAAGGAAAAAGAAATTGGTGTGAGCTTTTCTGTTGCACTTCAAACTGCATAAGTTACAGCCATGGTGTGTGACAAGAATTTGGTTGTGAAAATGCATTAAGTTATAATATATGATTCAATACTAGCTGTGATTACAGGCATGCACTTAGGATCTTGGACTCTACTAAGAGATTTCGAGTGTGTGCACACGTGCGCGCGCACATACACACACACACACACACACACATACACACACACCCGGCTTAGTGCTTCTCCAATCAGAGTACTGTGATTGGCTCTCTGTGCCAATTAGTTGTGTAGAGACTGTTGGTTCTCAGGACTGACCTTAGCTGAGTGCCCTTCCCCATCCTACTTTAATGGATCATGATAGAATTGCAAAGAGCAAGGAGCCCCTTCTTCATCTTGTTTCTTCCCTGTCTGTGTGCCCGGGGCAGATCTAGGGCTGACAGGCAGGGTAGCTGGTCAGGATCTGCATGCCAGCAGGCTCCTTGGGTGACCCTAATATGTTCTGCAGCTCAAGGGTCGCTGGCCCAGCTGGCATGGACACTCACCCTCGTGGGACCTGGTTAGCAGGTGCCTTCTCACCCCTTACTAGATGCCACCCTGGCCCTGACTATCCAGTCCCTCTTCCTTTGCCCTCTTCGCACTCTGCATCCGCTGCAGAGCCAGGCGCACCTCTGACCCTGTGCTCCCCTTGCCTTCCAGGATGCTGGTGGAGAAGTTCTCTGTGTCCCTTCAGGTCATCTCGCCAGTGCACCCAGGTGAAACTGTATTTTTGCCCAGACGTCACCCTTTGCCTTGCACCCTGGACTCCTCTAGTCTAAAGCCTCGCAGCCAGCTGGAAGAGCTGTTCCTCAGGTAAGCATTCTGTGCTGGCTATTTTTATGTCAGCTTGACACAAGATAGAATCATTTTAGATGTAACTTCAGTTGAGAAAATACTCCCACTGACCGGCCTATGGGCAGCTCACTGTGGGCAGGGCCACCCCTAGGTGGATGATCCTCAGGGCTATAGGAAGGCAGCTGAGCAAGCCATGGGGGGCAAGCCAGTGAGCAGCACTCCTCCATGGCCTCTGCGTCAGCTCTGCCTCCAGCTTCCCGCCCTAACTTCCTCAGTGTTGGACTGCTTCCTGGAAGTATGAGATGGAATAAACCCATTTTTTTCCTAAGCTGTTTATGGTCATGGTGTTTTATCACAGCAGGATAAACCCTGACTGAGATACATAGCAGGGGGAAGACATGGGAACAGTGTAGTCTGTTCTAGGGACAAAGGCCACCTCAGATAAGGAAATCCAAAGCCACCTTCTGAACATGGGTAATTAATCTTTTATGAATAGAGGTGACTGTATTCGTTTCTTTTCTGTTTCCTGTAACTGTAATAAAAACCGATTGGCCATCGTGAAGGGAAGTCAGGGCAAAAGCTTAAGCAGGAACCTGGAGGCAGGAACTGAGGCAAGGCCGTGGAAGGATGCTGCTTACTGGCTTGCTCCCAGGCTCATTCATGCGTAGTTACCTTTTCTATAGAGACCAGGCTTACCTACCTAGGAACAGTACTGCCTGCAGTGTCCTGGGCCATCTTACATCAATTAAAAGTCAAGAAAATGTCCCAGACATGGCCAATGGCCAGTCTGAAACAGGCAGTTCTTCAGTTGAGTGTCCCCCTTTGTAAGTGTGTCAAGGTGAAAAGCAAGATTATCTGCCACAGTAACATGGCCATACATGTATATTTAGAAAATTTACTAATTTAGACACAAACTCTTTTTAATTATAAATATTTAAATTTCTTTATTTTTGTGTTTGTGTGTGTATGTGTGTGTTTAAATGTAGGCTATGTGTGTGCAGTGCTTGAGGAAGCCAGAATAGGGTATTGGATCCCCTGGGCCCAGCAGTTGTAGATGCTGGGAACTAAACTTTGGTCCTCTGGAAGAGCTCTTAACCACTGAGTCCTCTCTCTAGCCCTTGGAGGAATAAACTTTCTAAAAGCCTATTTACATTATAGGAAACATCAGGCCATGCATTTACATGTTCAAACTGCCCTTCCTCCTCCTCTGCACCCCAGTTCTTCAGAGCAGCCTGAGCCAGACTCGTCATGTGTGGCCTGGGGATCTTGTCTTAGTTAGCACAGGGCTAAGCTCTGGGCCTTCAGAGCCCGTGATGGTCACTCCCACCTACAGCAGGGCCCTTATCCATAGTTATATCTCATGTCATCTCAGTCACCTGTGGCCAGTTGTTGTCTGGACAGTATTAAACGGGCAAATCCATGGGCTGGAGAGACAGCTCAGAGCACTTCTGCTGGATGCTCTTCCAGAGGGCCTGAGTTCAATTCCCAGCAACCAAGTGGCTCTTAAGATCTGGTATCCTCTTCTGGCACGCAGGCAGAATACTGTATACGTGATAGATAGATAGATAGATAGATAGATAGATAGATAGATAGATAGATAGATAGATAGATAGATA